TTTCCCCGATCTGCCAACTCGTGATACTTTAGAGCCATTAACGTGTTATCTGACAACTCAGCATGTGACTCGGACCCTCCTGCATCAAGCCTACAGGTGAAGTAGTCGTATCATCAAAGGCAAAGAGGGTTCTCTTCAAGCCTCCTAAAACACGGTCTTTAAACAAGAAAAAGACTGAGAACTTTGCCCCTGAATTCATTTCACGGAAAAAGAAAAAATAAAAATATAATTTAAATGGTTTGAACAATGGTGTTATAGGCATGATATCTGAATATAGCAGTTTTTTGTTTTAAATGTACGCAGACTATGGTATATTGTAATTCGATAGTAATCACTATTTTTTGATTTTAAAGACACAATCCGGTCATATTCTGTTGTTTATTAGTGTGTTGATATAACTTTTTATGTTCTGAAAAATAAGTGTGCATCGACAATAATTGCTGTACGATTTCATACTCGAAATAAGTTTGCATCGACAAAAATTGCTCTACGATTTCATACTCAAAATAAGTCTGCATCGACAATAATTGTTGTACAATTTCATACTCAAAATAATTGTAATTCGTGTTTGGATGTTCACACATTAATGCCAATACCATGTGCAACACATGGGCTTAAAAGTAGTTAGAATAGAAGAAGAAAGAATAAAGAAAGAGAAAAAGAGAAAAAAAATAATATTCAAATACCAAACTTGTTGCCTAAATCCACCCATATGACCCTTCTTTAAAAGGGAAAAAAATATTCAAATACCAAACGTGTTGCCTAAATCTATTCGTATCAACCTTCGTTATTCCTTTTCTTGCTCCCTAAATCATTCCGCTTCTAGCACCTTCCCATCAATTCGATGTACAAATTTTCAGAAATGAATGAAATCTAAACTTCCGTAACTAATAAGCTNCGTTATTCCTTTTCTTGCTCCCTAATTCATTCCGATTCTAGCACCTTCCCATCAATTCGATGTACAAATTTTCAGAAATGAATGCAATCTAAACTTCGGTTTCTAATATGATATCTTTTGCCTCCAAACGTGTTCACATTCTGGAATTAAAAAAATAATAATTAGGTCAATAAAGTATGGATAACTTTTAGATTAACTCATTTTTTTTATTTGAAAAAGTATTATTTGTTTTAAACTTATTTACTTTTCAATAAAAAGACCGATAATTTTATAAACAATAATGTCGTATATGTCCAACGATATTATACACTAGTCTATGTGGTAGTGAGATTATTATCATAATGTCCATTAAAGTTGAAATATATTTTTGTTGATTGTAAAATATGATAGCGATCTCCATTACAACATAAATATGTATTTAACACCGTTAAGAGTAATATTATTCTTTTTTAATGCTTGGACAAACACGCACTTAAAACATGATTGTGTTTGTGTTACAAACAACATTGCACTTTAACTAGTACATTCTTTTCATGTGACAATATTACGATTCACATAAATTTCATGTTAATTCAGCTAACGAAGGCGAAAGTAGTGTTGAATTAAGTAAAATATGTGCTAGCGTCATTCTTGGTTGATAAAAAATTGTAGGTTTGACTAAAAATTTAATTTTTTTTAAAATTATAATCATCATTCAAAGGATAAAGAATAAAGGAAAAAGAAAAGTAGCCCATTCCTAATTGTGGAAACTACTAGTTTCTACCAACAACTTTGGAAACATTTTTTAGAGTCAAATGCAAGTGTAGTCTATGTATAAAAGGAGGATTAATTTTTTAGATAAATAGCAAGTACTATTTAGGATAAACACTGTGAACAGAGAGTTATGAGTTCAATTATGAAGATGATAACGGTGGGAGCAAGTAAAAGCGCGTTCAGAAGGAGTAATGGTGAAGTAACAAGCTTCTTTTTTTAATTTTTGTTTCATTTATTACGTCCCCAAGTAAAGTGTTATTGTTTTTTGATTGTAATATTTTTTTTTGATTGGCTTTTGAGAATAAAAAGATTATGTATAAGCACACATTTACCTTCAATTATTGATATGAAAGCGGTGGAGGATGGTAATCTGGAAAAAACCTGTACCAAGCATTAATAATAGGCAAGTGGGAGAATATCGAATCAATGATCCGCGAACATCCAAATGAAGTATTCAAAGCCAGGCTAAATGAAAATGGAGATACACTGCTCCTCTTGGCCGTCAATGAAGCTAAAAAGGGGTCAGTCAACAGGCTGGTGGATAAGATTGCACCAGATTTACTGGCTCAGACTGACAACTTTGGGAATACAGCGCTTCACTTAGCAGCAAAAGTTGGACTTGTTGAAGATGCCAAAATACTGGTGAAAAAAGATCCCAAATTGCTGAATTGTGAAAACAAAGATGGACTTTTGCCAATTCACAGTGTTCTAAAAGGCGTATCGTATGGCGATGCGTGGAGGTCAAATCCAGAGCTAGGCGAGCTTAGACGAGACACATGCGTAAAAATGCGTTTTCTTATTTTAATATTACTTTAATTTTTAATCGATTAAAAATAATACTTACTAAACATTTAAAACATATTTATAGGAACTTTATATATTTTTTTAAAATTTCCAAAAAAAATATAAGTTTCAAATTTAAATGCAAAATAGTAAGTAAATAGCATAGAAACTTAAATTTTAACTAACTCTTTATCGGACTCCAATTCAATAACCT